AAGCTTTGCCTGATGTATAAGTGAAATAGTAATGTGTTAGGGTGTGTGATAACCGCCCATCAGGCAATATTTCTCAGTATCCCCCGTACTACCGTCACCTCAGGTCACACGCGGTCGGAGCACCTTGCTGGGCTTCGGCCATTCTCCCTGTGAGCCTCCCACCATGTGAGGTGGCTACCAGCTATACTATTCCACTGTGAACCTGTGGATCCCCAGCAGACCACCCCAAATGAGTAGGAATAAATAAGGAAATGCTTGAGAAACTCCGCGGTCGTCACCTGGAGCGACCTATAATGCTAGGAGCAGAAACAGTACTGGTATGTCTCTTGGTGTAGCCCTCGTCTCTACCCACCGAGGATGGTGTGCGAACGAGGTGCCTGATGTGTGCACCTAGAAATCACAAGGAGTCCCATACTTGCAGGTGTGGAGTATAACAGGTGTGGTGAGCTGGTGCTACAGGGAGGTGAGATGGTGTTACTATGTATGATGACCTAAGGTGCTATATTCCATACAGGTGGAGCAGTCCGAAGTGTTAAATGATATCGTAAGCAGGGTAACCAAACTCATCGTTGTTCTTCTGAGGAAGGCCAGCTCAATTGTATTTTTTGATACCATATAGTTTATAAAGAATAAATTAGTTAAGACATGTTATGGTTTCACCCTTCTTTTCCCTTATCGATCTGGTCAATGAAAAGCCTAACCCAATGCCTAGTCCACTCTGCACGCTACCTAACGAGCTACATACTGTCCAGAGGGGGGTCTGGTGGCAGCGACCCTTAGAAATTAAGATTAGAGTTAAGTACTTCCCCTTAGAATTAGTGACCCCAGTCTGGCAGTATATGACGTCTACATTCTCGGTACATACAACCGCTCTCAGCAAGTCTATTTTATTTCTAACGCTCCTATTGTTTGTATAGTATACATTTAAACCTACTCTTCCCTGGTCCTGTTTTACCCCTTGTTCTGGGTAACCACTTTTACTTCCCAGGACCTGCTTGTTTTTTGACTCCCACTTACCCCGACCTCTCTCTACTGGCGAAACCCCCCCTTTGGAGTAACAATTTCACGCTCCAGGGATGCAGACAACGTCTTTACCCCCGCACGAGACAAGTGTACTCCGTCACGACTGTACAGGTAGTCGTTGCCATAGAATCGTTGCCAGTTATCAATGAATGCCCAACCATTGTTTGCACAATGTTTTTCCAGTCGGCAATTTATAGCAATTGCCCTGGACAGCCATTCACGACCAACCCCTCTTCTAGGCAAGACACCACATACTATCGGGATCCTTCCCCTATCTCTAACCTTCCCCAGCGCCTCCCTATACCTCTTGAAAAGTTCCTCACTCCTAACCTTTCCTATGTCGTTTCCTCCCACACTAAGACACACTACTGGATTGGTACCCTCCCCTGACAAAACTCTATCTTTCCCCTCGATACCATGAGTCTTAACTTTTCTCAGAGGCCTCTGATGCGATACTCTGTCAAATGCTTTGCTAAAGTCTAAGTAAATAACATCGCAATTTTCGTCATTATCTACTACCTCGAATATCTATCCTATGATCAAGGAATTCTTCTCCCTCGGCTTGTGTGGTAAGATTCACCCCGTCTATGGTCTCGTGATTAAAATCTCCCATGATGAAGGCTTGTGCTCTGGATGCTATCTGGAGGACTCTATTAAACAGCCTTGTAGCACACCTGTTGTCAGTTTGCTCTTGTTTTGTGCTATCTAATTGCACCAATTAGACCTGGATGATCCCATTTCGTTTAGTTCGTCCGTAATGGTTACTGCCAGATGCTCCTTGACACGCAGTGGTACACCACCACCTCATGTGGCTCTGTATTTTTTAAATATTGGGTGATACCCTGGTACAGGTAAGTAATATTCACATGAGACACATTTTCTCGACCCCAGACTCGCTAATTCCAATGATGTCTGTTGTTCTTTGTCTGCATAGGCGCTGGCATAAACGTCTGAAAATCGTGTACCAACATTTGATTGGCCTGGTTTCTATTATTGTCCCCTTTGAAGACTGAGTCTGTATTAGCCCCTGTCAAACAGACAGTAATACTTATATAAATGTGGGCTACATACATTATGTTTATATAATTACATCACTCACTGTAGCTAGCCTACGAGCAGTGAGTGGTACAGTAGCTTTGTGGGAAGCAATATGAGACCATGGATGATAAATTTTGGTATATGGGGGCTGTCACTAGTCATGTGTAAAATTTCAGAGCATATCAACCCCCACCTGCACAGATAGTTGTTTTAGCTACTGTACATGTGACAGTGTTTTTCCACTGTCAGCTCCACACCTTGGGCTGCATACTCAAAACACCTCATCAGTTACGTACAGTAGCAGAGATACAGTACCGTAACTTACAGACTCCTTACAGTCCCAGTGCCGGATTGAGACCTGTGGAGGCCCATGGGCAGCCTCTTTGTGGAGGCCCCTCTCATTATAACTACCCAAGAGGGTGGGGTGGCGAGTGAAGCGAGCCTAAACATCTGGGAGTTCCAGGGGGCGTTGTAAGCCCCCCGGGAAAATTTTGAAATTTCAACACTTCTTTGGAGAATTTTGAAGCCACATGCAGTTATATTGAGGAAATTAGAACATTGAGAAATTTTTAATGAACTGTATATTTATTGATAGTGCACAAATTCCCAACACACACACACACACAAAAGTGAGACATGACTGGAGTCATTCATGTGGTTTCAAGTCGACCAGCCCTGATATAGCTACTACCGCACATGTCCAAAATTTTCAAGAGACTTCACAGAAAAGAATATATTATTAGTTATTAGTTATTTCAAGGAGTAGCTAGCCTAATTTCTATGACGCTTCTTGCTGAACATAGTTTTACGTGACGGAATAGATAAACATAAATTTTAAAGAATGAAAATAAAATTAATCCAAATGAACAAACAATAAATAAAAAATTGTAATATGTGGAGGCCCCCAGATTGTGGAGGCCCCTGGGCAGTTGCCCACTTTGCCCACTCCTGAATCCGGCCCTGTACAGTCCCGTAAATTTATCATACTCAAAATTGAATTACAGTCCCGTAAGCAGTCTGTAACTCTAGTGTTTACCCTGTAAATTCAATAGATGACAGTGCAGGAACTATTTGGCTAATCGTCACTCATTTAACAAAATCAGGGTCCTGACATTCCATGCAACAACCATAAGAGGTTGTGTAGCTTGTTTTTGTTTGGATCTGTCATTTTTATTGTGTTTTCGACCGCATAAGGATGACCTTACTGGATGCGGTTGCCCAGTCAGGTTGTTTTTTTGAAGCAGGCTATGTTTAGGGCACCTTTTCTAGCCCTCTCCTAATGTGGGGTGAACAGAGTGGCTCCTCGAGAGGGCTGCTCAATCGCACAGACAGGACCGGATTGCACTGCTGTCTAGATTCAGTGCATAAATGACCATCTTATCTGTGCCGCTGTCCCAGGTTGCGGAACCTGACTTTCTGCCTCATTTACACACAATTGCAGGGTCTCAATTGTTTCTCTTACTTTGACAACACAACATACATAATGTATATCGTTTCTCATTCTTGATTTAATTTTTTCATTTTTGTATTTATTTATGGTTATTATTTTTTTGTATTTTGTTAATAATTTTTATGAATAATTATAATAATAATAATAGTTATTATTTTATTATTATTATTATTATTGTTAATATTATTAGATTGCCTGCCCCCCCCGATGTGGGTTAGTGACCTGTGCCCGGGTGGGCTAATCCCCATAAAAAATGTGCAGACTAGAGACTCCCAGCAGTCATCACTGCCTGTCTCCATCACCACTCGTCCGTCTCCATAGGACTTTTGGGGGTATAGGGGTTTTGATGATGATGAGAGGTATGATGAGCTGGATGATGGCTACACGTGAGTTGATTTATGTGGTGAGACAAGAGCGCAGGCTGCAACCACACATCTTGGCTCTTCTTTTTCCTGATCCAGTGATGCAAGTGTTGCAACGACTGGGGAAAGGAATAGTTGCAATGGACTGCCGATAGGTCAGTTTGTTGGGTTTCGCCTTAGTAGCCTGTCCATCAGGCAATGCCACACACACACACACAATATATATATATATATATATATATATATATATATATATATATATATATATATATATATATATATATATATATATATATATATATATATATGCTGATAACCACAAGGAAACAAGAAAACTCGAAGTTCCCTAGCGCCTTCATGTAATTCACATCTTCAGGGGTGAGTACAGACTAGGGAGAAATACTTAGATCAAGTCCCTAGGGGACAGCAGGGGTCCACAATGTTCCGGTCATAAGGCAGTGACCCTTACTAATATTTTTAATCCAAAGAAGTTGACCATGCCATCTCTAAGCATAGCTCAAAATTATCCAGTTTGTACATACCATCACTCAAATTCATGTTGACAGATTCGGTATGTTTAATGAGACTGGATCCTATAATGTTCCTACTGACAATCGAATTACAAGGTAATATTGAGGAGGCATTATCCCAGTCAATGCAATGCTCATTATCTCTCATATACAGCATATATATACAGTATATAATATATGCAAAAGTATTATAAAAATGCTGCAGTATCAACACAACAATGAGCATAAACATTTGCAGTTGGGCAGACTATGCCTGAGACGAGCAAGTGGCAGAGGTCTGGTAACTGCCTCTCTCTTAGTGACATAACCTACGTTGTCAACCGATGAGAGGGTTAATATCCAACAGTGAATGAATACCTAACTTTACAGCTGGGGATATGAAGGCTATCGAGCTCAGTACCAGCCACATTGCCTACACATGTACTGAAGGTTTAATAATTCGCGTCTCCAACCCTCAGATATGAGGATGGTACTCTGATTGATTGATCTCCACTGTCTGTAACATGCAGTACAGGTATATATGTAATCATTTGACTCAAAATAAGAAACAAAAAGGAACTGGTTTGTCAGCAGTTTACAGACAACTATAACTCAAATGACATTAGTTTGGGCTGTCCTATGTTGTGATGGAGGAAATCAATATGTAGCACTAATGGTGTGGAAAATCATGCGTCATTAAAACTTCTTGAGGAGCCTCTTCAAGACTCTGGTTAAAGCTAGAAGATGCTTATTTTCTGCACCTGTTCACTCTTTAAGTGTTATATGGGTTCTAACACTGGCTGATATATAAAATGAGTTGCCTATAAAGGTCACAATGCCAAACTCTTCCCTCAGTCACCTTCAGGACCTCTTGGGGTAAATTCCTCTACTATTTATTTTGTAACTGAAATATCAATATATTATCTTAACTCCATTTTTTCACTTCTCTGTGAGGAAGATCTAGTGTACATAAACCACAAACAATACACGATAAATGTAGAAAGTGATACGTAAGAGCTGGAAGAAGTGGAAATACCCACTATAGACGTATTCATATCATCAACTTGCATACTCAGTGACTGCTTAGCATTAACACTAATTTAAAATGGTTCACAGCTTTATCACCTATTTTTCCGGGGATTAACTCACCTGGGTACAGGTCACCGACCCACATCGGGGCCCGGGAAGGGGGGGGGGGGAAATAAATAAATAAATAAATAAATAAATAAATAAATCAAACAAATGAAGAGTGAGAAACGATAAAAATGTTGTGTTGTCAGAGTAAGAGAAACAATTAAGACCCTGCAACTGCGTGTAAATGAGGCAGAAAGTCAGTCAGATCAGCAAGCTGGGATTTGGTAAAATTTTCGTGATGCCATATGGCAGCAGGGTCTACCATTAGACAACACATTATGCTTCCAATATCTTCTCAGGTGGTAGTACCTCCCTGTTTGATATCTGCATACTACCTACTACCCACTTAAATTTATAGTCAAATTTACAGATATGGTTGGGCCTACCTGAGGCATTCAGCTGTGTCATCGTCCAGTTTACTCTGGAATTCCTGGTTTTCCCCAGATATGAGTCTTTTCCTTTTCTTGGGGTTATTAATCTGTGCATACAGAATGGATCCTTTCTCGGTTCCTGACAGAATGGGCCAGTACTTGGATCCTAACATTACGTGAATTTTGTCAATATAAGACCTCAATCTTGGACACTGAAGGAACAAGGATTCAGTGAGGTAGACGAGTTCCAGGCGTGAAGTAAGGGAGTAGAGTATGGCATCCTCTAACACTTGCTGAAAATCACCAATATAATTTAGTCTCACATATTGTCATCATTGTTATAGCCTACTGTACTTATAAGTACTATCCTATGGCATGGTTCTTTTAACAGTGGCATACTGAGTTTCCCTAATTATTTATGTTCTACGCTAATATATTATTATATTATAAATATTTTTCAATAAATTCCCCATTACAACCTACAGTACCTTTAGATTTTCTCAAAATTCTACTATCGTTTATTTCCAATTGTGTCAATATACAATATTAATGAATACAAATCTAAAAAGGGTACAAACAAATATTCAGATAAAATCCAAAAATAAACAATACATTTTCTCATGATCATTTCTGGTTATGGCGTTATATGAGGGACCAAAAACCTCTGGTGATGGAGACAACATCACAGGACTATAAGACTGGCCTGCCCTGGGAGTTTTTGTATGCTGACGACTTAGTGCTTACAGCAGACAGTATTGTAGAGGCAGGGGAGAAATTTAAGAAATGGAAGAGAGACAAAGGGCCTGAGAGTAAAAAGAAAAGTATTGATTAGTGGTGATAGTTAGGGATCCATGGTGAACAGTGGAAAATGATATTGTGCTGCCTGCAAAAGAGGTTTTGGCAGAAAATCAATAAAGTGCAGTGAATGTGGAAGGGGAGTACACAGGAGGTGCAGTGGAGTAGATGGCAGACTGCAGGATGTTGCCGACTTTAAGTGTTCTATATGTGCAGGTATCCATGTGGCCTTAGCAAGGCTGGTGTGAGATGTGTGATGTTGTGTGGCAGTGAAATATAGGCAGTTAAAGAGGATGACTTAAGTAAACTTAAGTGAGCTGAAGTGAGAATGGTGAGGTGGATGTGTTATATGACAGGAGGACCTGTTCAAAACTAAGATAGCAGCTGGGTATTGAGGGTAGAGGCTGGCTGAGATGGTTTGGGCATGTGGAGAGAATGGAGGAGACCAGTTGGGTCATGAGTCCTAATGTGGAGGGGAGGAGAACCAGGGACAGGTCAAGAATAACATGGGGAGAGGTTATAAGAAACGACTCCATCACGATCAGGGTTAATAATTTGACAAGAGAGACTGCAAGAGAAAGTGCAGCTGCAGCATGGGGAGCTGCCACCATCTGTAATATTTAGCCGTTATATAATCTTTTTTTTTCCTCTCTCTTTTACTTGGACCATTCCTTTTTTTGTAACATAGTCTGGACCCCCTCTTACATTCTTAATGAGAAAAAGTCGGCACTCTACAAAGAACTCTGGAATCTGAATTCAAGCAACTACAGTACAGTAGTGCTGCAGATGTACAGTAGCTGTATTAGCACTGTCATATCTCGCTAAGCTGACTGATGTAGATGAGGCTGAATTAAAAGAAGAACTGGCCCATTCATGCGTGTGCACCGACACCTGTTTAACTCACATTTCAACAAGAGTGTGACTGCCAGTACTAATAATAATGATGATGAGGACCACCCAGTCTGTGAATCCATCTTCCTGCAATGACAACTGTCTAGGGCCTAGACTCTAGGCGGAACTCTTACAATACTCTTTTGTAAATGCTTCAATGATCCCTTGTACTGTTGTCTCATGTGATAGAGTATTATGAAACTGCAGTATGTCAGGAGGCGACTGAGATCTCTATTTCGTCAAGATCATCTGGAGGCCGTTCTAATATGCTCCACGGAAACTGATTTAATGAAGATATAGAACCTGAAGTGGTTTATGAGACTCGCTACTCTGGCTTTAGAAATGAAACAAAAATGCTTATGTTTTTATTTGGATTTCTCTGCAGATTTTAACAGAAAATATAAGTATTGTATTTTAGTTAATTTATTTTTCCTGTCTTTGTCATAAATTAAATCCCTGTACAGTTATTCGTCTTCCATGAAACTCTTATTGCCTTCTCTTTTCATTCCCAGAAGCTTATGTACAGTACTCACTGCTACACGTTAGTTCGCTATTAATCCATCAATAGCACCACCAGACCTTCTGCTATTAATCCATCAATAGCATCACCAGAGCTTCTGCTATTAATCCTTCAATAGCATCACCAGACCTCCGTGTTTTAGTTCGTTCCCTCATCACCATGGCAACTCTCCTCCTCCAACGACATATTTTAACCTCTTCAACTTCTTTCACTGTATCATTTAGATTACTTCTATGGTCATGTTATTAAATAAATAATAAATAAAATTAAGAAAACTATAGACTACATGGTATACCGTCCCTACGTGTGTCTAGGCCGGGTCTCTGAGGTTAGGGTTAATACGCTGACCCTGTGAGGTCATAACCTGCCTGATTTTCACGCATTAGTATGGAATACATAGGCATTATGTACAATACTTAGACGTTATATAAAATGTGTAAATGGACTTAACCAAAGCATTAAAAGGACAAATGTTAATATACATTGTTATTTATTGGCAAAATCAACAATGTGTGAAACGAGACTTCTTTATACGCATTTATTCCTGTAACGTAACGTAATGTAACGTAATCTTAGGTTAGGCTGAGCTACGGAATAAACGTGTGTAAACAGCCTCGCTCACACTGCCTAAAACAGACCCGCCACTGTATAGACTGCCTAGGTATTTCATACAATGCCTGACTTTTACACTTTACCGGCAGCTTACACAATATATATATATATATATATATATATACTAAGAAACACTGTAGTGAACTCACCTGGGTTTCTGTGACTGCTAGTCCAATCATAACATTCATGAGGACCAGAAAAATCAGGAAGAGAAAGAGAAGGAAGAGAAGTATGGCCGACGTGAAGAACAGAAACTTGCGAGAGAACTGCTCACGCTGGTCTGAGTATTCAAATTCACCAGTTGCCATCACTATTACCTTTGGCAGTGTTGACCAGAAATTACTGAAGTCTGACTCCTGATAATAAAATAGAAAATATGAGTTGAGTTTCTAAAACCAATAACTATAGGTACAGTCGGCCACAAGAATAAGTATACACCTACGGTTCGTGTTTGAGACAAAATATCTGGTAACACTGTCCTGAACAGAACAGACAAAATGACCTGTTATTTATGTTTTATTCCTACATATATGTTATAAATACATTTGTTGTGAATGTTTTACTAGTGTCTTGTGTTATATTGCAAGTGGTATATTGTATCTAATGGTAGTAAACTTGTTGCCGAATGGGATTGCAATTATCGTACAGCTCCCTCCTCCTCCCCCACTTTTTCTCTTACCCTACCATTTTTTACTGGTGTTTGGCTTAGTAAAGGAAGGAAGAGGAGTAAATAGAATAATAAAGAAGGGAAAACAGAAAATAGTTAAAGATAACAGGTGGGGGGGGAGCTGAGTTTCATCATGTGTCTGGACCTTACAGCTACAGTGTGTGTACTTATTCCTGTGGCCGACTGTACAGCTAAATGTATCCACAACAACAAAATCAGAAATTCTGAAAATTTAGAAACAATGTAGGAATCAAACTGCTTGAACAATATACAGTATTCAAATAAGCAAGTACTGTTAGCAATCAGAGTACCGTCCTCATAATTATCTGAGGCGTTGACAACCAGTCCTCCACTCTAAACGTTCTTGGGCTGTTTTTACCAGTTCTCTAAGGTTTTGTATCTCTCTAGGGACCCCGTTTTTAATTTCAATCATCCATCCCAGTCTGTGCCTTCCCCTGGTCCTCCTACCCTCATCTTTGCCCATTAATATTTCTTTCATCTTTCCCTCATCCGTAATTATATGATCACAGTATCTAATATTTCCTTTTCTGTACAAACCAAACATTTCTCTCAAGTTTTTGCTAACCTTAGTACCTTTTCATTTGTTTCCCTGTCAGTGTAGTTTATTCTTAACATTCTCCTTAACACCACGTTGCAAAGGCCGCCAACCTCATTCTGTTGTCTGCTGAGTGTCCACACATCTGGCCCTTACAACAGTCCTGGCCCTGTAAAGCTTCTCAGCAGCCTTTTTTCTCATATTAAAGTTAATGTCTCTTTTCATTAGGTTATATAGATTATTAAATGCTGTTTTTTCTTGCCCTATTCTTGTTTTGATTTCTTTCATACAAAAATCATCACAGCTAATTTACTTACTCACTTACAAAATTTTCCACTTGCTTAAGTTCCTTGTTGTTTACCTTAATTTTAATTTTAGAATTTATTTTTAAATTAGAAATAATCATTAATTTAGTTATATTCTTCAAGTTTTTCCACTAATCTGTTAACCAGTTTTTGTAATGCCTCTTCACTCTCCGTGATAAGAGCAGCATCGTCTGCATGTCGTGTATTATACATTACTTTACCATTCTGCTGTTCAGATAACTCACTGTCTATTCTAAATTTTATTCAACTTAAAGTAATGTTTAATAAGACTTAGCAGGCATGACTTATTAATCTTATCGTTCTAAACTGGGTGCTCTCTAAGGCTTTTGAGGTAATAATACAAATACTGATTATTTTAAATCGCTGGGAAGGTCGCCTTTTGAAGAACGAGGAACATATTCTAGGCAAACATTTGATCCTATTCTTGTTCATTTGTTTTGTAAATTCTGCTGGAAGCTGACGAACACCACAAGCGTTATCATTTTCCATCATTGCTCACAGCTGCCTCAACTTCTGTTTCCAGAATTGGCATTTCGGTCTTTATTTCCTTTTCGTTTTTTACCTCTATTGTATCCTATCACTGTATAGTTCTTCTACATACTCTGCCCATCTCTCTTACTTTTTCTGCCTCAAACAGGATTTTATTGTCTTTGTTTTTAATAATTCCACCCCATTTATTTCCTTTTTTCTGTACAGTTCCCCATCGTTATGTCTTCTGTCGTCATCTTGAAGCTCCTTCCATTACTCTTCTGTGTTGTTTACATTGTCCTGGGGTAAGACCCATGTATACAAATGCCCAGGGTGTTGTTCAAACCACGTGTTTGCAATTATCACATTGTTTTATTTACAAAAGTCAATTATTATTTCCCTTCTCTCATTTCTATTACCCAACCCATGTGGTCTCACTTCTGGTGCTACTTCCCTTTCCAAACGTTTGTGTTAAAATCGTCCATTATAACCAGACATCCATTAAACTTTACGGTGGCTTTTACTTTTATTAAATCTTCATTAAAAATTAAGACTTCATTCTCAATGTTATTTGTTGGTGCATAAACCTGTGTTATTACCAAGGCCTTGGGTTTAGCATTAAACTTGACCATCAGAACCTATCTCACACTGCCCAATATCCCTTTACACTACTGCTCAACTTCTGGTTTACAATAATACCAACACACTCATGTTTTCACCACCTTAATTATGAAGGAAGAATCTTCACCGCTAATGCTATTTGAACCAGTCCATCTTACTTCACCAAATCCCAGAATGTCCCACAGCAATCCTTTCATTTCCCTACAGACATTTACATATTTAACAGCGTCATATAATGTCCTCAGAGCCCATGCTCATCAATCTTTATTTTGTATTGGTTCATTTTTAAACATTCCATCGTGATTAATGCCCAAAACTTTGTTTTCCCCGGACGGTACTTGCTAGCTCTCGGTGGCACACTGCCCACAAGCTCGGAAGGCAATGAGGTTGGACCTTAATGTGACGATGATCTAACAGGAACGCCAGAAAATCATTTATTGTGTCTGTTAATGGTTGTGGAAGAGCAAGAGATGAAGTTATTGAGAATAGATTCCCCAAATCTTTCTCACCAGAAGATTAATTAAAGGGAGTATAAAACGTTGGGGATGAACTGTGGGGTGTAGAGCCTGCTCATACCCCACTCTGTAAAACAACCAGTCCATCACCTATGAAATATCCGTGTTTGGCTACGATCCATTTTCAACCTTCTCGTTTGAGGTTACATGATGGGAACTTTATACCCATTCTAGGTATTTGAAAGTGGTTCGTTCGAGCCCCCACACCACGACAAGGTAACACTGCTGGACACAGCTGGCAACTCAAGGCCCTTTCTCTACTATATAGTGCACAGTATAATATAATACGAAACAACAAAGCCCAACCATTAAGTTAAGCAACAGGGAAGTAAGTAACCAATCATCGATAACCTTTTACATTTATTCATAATTTTTACTTCGTCCTATTGTAAACAAACGGCCTCGAGTTGCCAGCTGTCTCCAGCAGTGTTTGAAGAATCTTGAACGAGACTGTACCTTGTGGGGGAAGTAAGCAATGGGTGTACAAAAAGAAGTGTACTGTATGTTAACATACATCTAGTGCAATCCTGCTAATTAATTTGGGTGGAATGGAAGTACATACTGTAGGCCTACAGATGGATAAATAATGTACCCATATAAACAAATCTACAGTATTGTATATGAAGTGAAATGTAAAATAAAAAGGTTCTTATTACACTTAAATTAATGCAACAAAACTATCATAATAAAAAGCACAACAATTAGTAAATGACATTAAAAATCTTATTACAGGTGATGACAGCGTGAGACTTACCTGACCATTATTAGTGGGCTGTAGGATGATGTTGAAGCTGATGGTGAAGGCTAGGATAAGGGCACCATACAATACTATGAACTTTATGAATTTCTTGGAGGTATGTTGAACCATTGTAATGTAGATGGCAAGGGGAGGAACTCGACCAAGAATCAGCACAAACTCGTACCTGGAATTTATGCAGTTACAGTAACCATATTTGAACATCTTTTATTATATACAGTATAGTATTTATATGGTTTAATACACTGTGGAATGTGAATTTAACATACATGACTCCTAAATTGGTAAATTATACTCATGTTACAAAAGTGTTGATTATGAGCTCATAGATGAAGTCAACTTACCAGGCAACAATCATAGCCCAAGCAGCTAGGTGGCGAGTGATGTCGGAATCAAATGTTGTGCAGCACATTATTATCACAACCACTATCAAAAATATGTCAAAGTAGTTCTTAATATTCTTACGATAGTCTTCCCATACGTAGAGAATTTGGAACACCTCCCTGCTAAGCATGTACATAGTGAGCGGGATAAGAAATCCTTTGAACAAATACATTGTTGTTTGTTGACTTGAAATCCGTTCTTCCAGATCCTGAGTAGTATTGGAAGATCCAGAATTGCCAGACATCTTTGATTTAGCTTCAAGTACACGTAAATCATTCAGACTGTAAACAAATCCTGTAAGAATAACGACAAAGAAGAAGTAGAGCCCTAGATTGAGAAGGTAAAGAGGTAGAGCCTTCCGCCACTTTGCATACAACAGACACTGTACGAGTGGATGTTTTATGGTATGTCGGTGCCTTTTACTCCTTTTAATGTCCATCAATACTTCCACCTCATTAGTACTTCTCACCTCTTTCTTTTTATCAACAGTGACTGGAGGTAAAAGAAAATTAAAGTTCAGTTTCAACAAGTAATCCTCCTTTAGAACATTTTCTGGTTCACTGTCATCACCATTTGCTGGCTGGTGTGTAATACAGCCATCCATGGCTCGTTCCAAAGTTGCTGGAAGTAGTGAATCCAGGATATTACCTTGGTTCTTACCTGGCATTGTTTGGCGAGCACCAAGGAATGACCCCATATGCAAAAACTTGCTTATGGCCTCTTGATTTTTGAAATATGCAGCTACATGCAGTACAGTCTGACCCATCCATTCCTGGTCGACGTTCAAGAGAACATCGTCTTCCATTAATCTTCGTAAACAATCTAAATGACTAATGTCACGAGAAGGGCCTTTTTTTCTTTTACTGCTCTCCATCAGTTTTTGGACAACACTAACAGTATATTCCCTAAGATCTACGGATTTATTGCCCCCTTTCATACGATCAATGATAAGATTGAATATAGGCAAGTGCCCTAGGGCAGCAGCACGGTGAATGGGAAGTTCATGTGTTATTTCAAGTGCCCGAGCATGTGCACCAAATTCAATTAGTGTTTTAACTAATGATTCATTGCTGTTGTCAATAGCATAGAAAAGTAGAGTTTGGTTACCAAGTCGATCATTGACTATCGCACGAACATACTCAGCGCCACGAGCATCTTCAGCAGATTTCGTCAGCAAGAATTCCCGTATATTCTGTATACTGTTTCTTCTTAATATCATATCCAGGAATACTGATGCTGCAGGCCTTGTAGGTGCAGGGGGAAGTTCACCACCCATCAGGATAGAAGGAAGGGCTCCTTTGCGTTTTAGAACTTCTTCAATAGTGCCCTCCTCTCCATTTTCCTGAAGAGAAGCACCAGCATTTACCAGATTTTTACATAATTTGATGAGTCCATTCCTTGTGGGAGCCGCGTCTTCTTGAGGTAACTTGGATGCAGCTATTCCTAATGGTGTGAGGTCTTCATAAGGGTCATGAGGTTCCAAATCAATTTTGTATTTTTTATCTAAAAGTAAGTTTGCTATTTTATCTAAGGTTTCCTCATTTTTTTTCCCAGCAGCTATGGCACAAGTCAAGATGTGTAGCGCCGTCTGACCGTTTTTATTACGAGCATTAATATGAGCTCCAACATCGAGGAGCTTTTTAACAACTTCATCCTGTGCTTCCGAGACTGCCACTAGGAGTGGTGTTCTTCCTTCATCATCTGGGGCGTCGAGGACATCTTTAGATGAATTAGCATCTAATAAAACCTGTAAACATTCATGCGCTCCCATTTTAGCAGCGGCATGGAGTAGGTTTCCCTTAACGGTTACTCCATTATCACCGAGGAGTGGTCGCCTGCACACAGTTGCTGCTCCCCATATCTGGATCAAGTTGTGTATGTCATCTTCATTAGCACCCTCCAGGAATGCGGTGACATCACCAACCTTAAATGACTGCAGCTTCATGTTAGACAAACCTGACGTCTGCTTCTCAACGTCTTCCATGACAACGCCTGTGGAAAATAACTTATTACAGTATTTTATTATTTTTACAAATTAGTTAAAGTATGACAAATGTTTACTGGTCACCAGTGTTTGACATTTTTGATGGTGGAATTCTTATTTACAGAGATTCATAAGAATAAAATAAATGAAATTCTTTATTTATTATAGTGAGGAGCTGCTGGGGACCTGGTGGTCACCTCTAAACTCCTGCCTTTTATTACAGCTTTGAAGTCTTCTCAAATATTAATACCACTCAAATGTTTGATAGCTGAACAAACATTAGATAAATAATTAGGACTATAATTTATATATATTTTTTAGAATAAATACAATATATATATATATATATATATATATATATATATATATATATATATATATATATATATATATATATATATATATATATATATATATACCTAGATCACGCGCACCTACAGTGATTTACTTGCATATATATATATATATATATATATATATATATATATATATATATATATATATATATATATATATATATATAAACTACCTCACCAGCCAGGACTCGAATCCTCGAGTCTGGCTGAGGTAGTTTTTTTATTGGGAACTTCCCTACATCCCTGTGTAAGGTGAAGGCAGAAGCGTTTACAGTGCCCAACAGGGAAGCATGCTAAGTTCATGCTTGCCTTCATGTCTCATGAGTTAAGGGCATAGAAGCCTGAAGAGTCAGTTTTTGGAAGCTCCAACAACTCCCTGAATACGAATTCGCAACTTTCGACTTACAACAGGTACCTACTTTACTGCTAGGTGAACAGGGACTAATGGGGGCTAGGAAGTAAGTCCAAACAACTTCCACCGGCCCGGGAATCGAACCCTTGACATCTCGCTTGCGAGGTAAGAACGGTACTGCTTCTACCACCGATCCCCCGGTGAGGTAGTTGATTATATGTTCAAAGTCCGCGTGTTATATGGACTAAATATGTCGTATATATATATATATATATATATATATATATATATATATATATATATATATATATATATATATATATATATATATATATATATATATATATATATATATATATATATATATATATCATGTAGATCCACAATGAAAACGTGGATAAGATAAATCTTGATAAAATCACACAGGAAAAAGGGAAACAATGGAGCACCTTAGCTTTCGTCTTTGCTCAAGATATCTTCAGAGGCAACTGAATTACAAGGACTGAGAGGCTTATGTACACAGGGTGACCTTACAAAACAAGAGGTCAGCAAAGCAGATTTCGGCTTTTGTCACTGCAGAGGGGCTGTGGCGATACAGAGTTATGCCCTTCGGCCTCAAAGGAGTACCAGCAACATTTCAGCAAGCGATGCTTATAGTGACATCAGGCCTGCCTGGAGTGTACGCCTATCTAGATGATCTGGTCGTCGTCGGTGACACATGGGTACAACACATTGGCCGACTCCGTACACTCTTCAATCATCTAGCAGTGTTCAACTTCACCGTAAACCTGCCTAAGAGTGAATTCGGACATGCCACCTTATCTTCCTCGGTCACGTCGTTGGACAAAGAAAAATTGCCCCAATTGATGCCAAGGTTGCCCATATCCTCAGTCTACCCACACTTCTCAATCGAAAGGCTCTCAGTAGATTTCTCGGGATGGCTGGATTCTACAGGCGGTTTTGTCAAAACTTTGCCAGGATGGTCACTCCCCTGGCAGATCTGGTCAGCCCCAAAAGAAAGTGTGTGGACTGATGACTGTCAGACAGCATTCGAAAAGGTCCGTGGGTTGTTGGCGATGGCTCCTGTACTGCAACTCCCAGACTTTAAGAAACAGTTTGTGATACAATCGGATGCGTGTGACACAGGAGTTGGTGCCGTGTTAATGCAAAAAGAAAAAGATGGAATATTGCACCCGAACTGTTATTTCTCGGTCAAACTGAAAAAGCATCAACGTGGATATGCCAGCATTGGCCCTTTTGTTCGCTCTGGAAAAGCTTGAGGTGTATGTAAGTGGATCACCTTATCCAGTGATAGTTTATACAGATCATAATCCACTTCAGTTTGTTCATAAAATGAGAAATAAAAATCCAAGACTGTTACGGTGGTCATTAGCTCTTCAACCCTATAATATAGAAATCAATCACATAAAGGGCTGTGATAATATCATTGCCGACACTCTATCTCGTGTTGAGTAAAAGTTTATTCAGAGCTTCTTAAACTTTTAAATTAAGGGGAGAGATGTTATGAGTGTCGGAATTAAGAACCAATGAATAGATTACTGGTCGGCATATGAACTTCGAATGATTCGTTGTGTAGACACCGAAGCAGTTAAAATTTAGATTTTATATGTTATACTTGAAATGTAACATTTGTTTCGATGTGTTAGGTAAAACAAAGTAATGTTTATTATATTGTCCTGAATACTAATGAGCGAGTGAGCGTTCAATGGTTGTTTGCGGATTCGCAACGTGAACGTCTCCTGTTTGTGACGTCATTTCCGCCCGCCTCTGCTTGCTTGGTTTTACCTCTCAAAGCCGGGTGGCTTTTAGTATTGGGCTGGGAGCCATAAGATAAGTATCTCCTCTCCTATTGTATATTTCTTGTGGTATAACGTGTAAAACCTTGCTCGACTTTTAAGAATGCCAAGTATTGTATAGTTTAGTTTGTATTTGTTTCTTTTTGTACATAACTGATATATTTATTGTTTGTTTGTTTGTTAATATTTGTAATTAAATGTCCTTTATGATTTTCAATATACCCCATAGTAATGATGTGATGATTTTGGTGGGATCTATTCCTTGGACCTTCGATACAAAGAGAAGTTGAATTTGTGCATTGTTACGAGCTAAGAGACCAAAGGTTGTAACAGTGGTGGTGATGATGGATGGTAGTGGTGACGAATGGATGGTGGTGATGATGGATGGTGGTGATGAATGGATGGTGGTGATGAATGGATGGTGGTGACGAATGGATGGTGGTGACGAATGGATGGTGGTGATGAATGGATGGTGGTGATGAATGGATGGTGGTGATGAATGGATGGTGGTGATAATGGATGGTGGTGACGAATGGATGGTGGTGATGAATGGATGGTGGTGATGAATGGATGGTGGTGATGAATGGATGGTGGTGATGAATGGATGGTGGTGACGAATGGATGGTGGTGATGAATGGATGGTGGTGATGAATGGATGGTGGTGATGAATGGATGGTGGTGATGAATGGATGGTGGTGACGAATGGATGGTGGTGATGAATGGATGGTGGTGATGAATGGATGGTGGTGATGAATGGATGGTGGTGATGAATGGATGGTGGTGACGAATGGATGGTGGTGATGAATGGATGGTGGTGATGAATGGATGGTGGTGATGAATGGATGGTGGTGATGAATGGATGGTGGTGACGAATGGATGGTGGTGATGAATGGATGGTGGTGATGAATGGATGGTGGTGATGAATGGATGGTGGTGATGAATGGATGGTGGTGACGAATGGATGGTGGTGATGAATGGATGGTGGTGATGAATGGATGGTGGTGATGAATGGATGGTGGTGATGAATGGATGGTGGTGATGAATGGATGGTGGTGATGAATGGATGGTGGTGATGGATGGTGGTGATGGGATGGTGGTGATGAATGGATGGTGGTGACGAATGGATGGTGGTGATGAATGGATGGTGGTGATGAATGGATGGTGGTGATGAATGGATGGTGGTGATGAATGATGGTGGTGAATGGATGGTGGTGGATGAATGGATGGTGGTGATGAATGGATGGTGGTGATGAATGGATGGTGATGGATGGTGATGATGGATGGTGGTGACGAATGGATGGTGGTGACGAATGGATGGTGATGAATGGATGGTGGTGATGAATGGATGGTGGTGACGAATGGATGGTGGTGATGAATGGATGGTGGTGATGAATGGATGGTGGTGACGAATGGATGGTGGTGATGAATGGATGGTGGTGATGAATGGATGGTGGTGACGAATGGATGGTGGTGACGAATGGATGGTGGTGATGAATGGATGGTGGTGATGAATGGATGGTGGTGACGAATGGATGGTGGTGGTGGTGTAATGATTGTTTATCAGACCACAGCTTACAGCCCAGAGAAATACAACACATATAACATTAAGTATATACCTACGGGTTCCATGACAAAACCCCAAAGGGGTTGTCGTTTATCAACACTAACCTAACCTAACCTAACCTAACCTAACCTAACCTAAACATAAAAGTGTTTTATTTTATATTTTATATATGAGACTGGGGTTTTGTCCGTTGGGGTTTTATCCGGTCACCATACCCACGTGTTAACGCACATAGATTGACACACCCTACAGTGACAGTAAGACCTGACCCAGGAGAGGTCACGGACAAGTTACCTAAGTTAACCCTGCGTTATGACCGTGTTACTCAAGAAGCTACCCCCCAGCCAGTACACCTGTCACCTGGCCAGACACACCCAGATTTGTGTCGACATCTTCCGGCTGGAAATCGTCAATATATAGGCCCTGCAGCTCCCTCTCATGAACAGTTGCATTCGGATACTATTCTAGGAGGGAAGGAGCCGACAGCTCCTCCCCAGAGGGAGACTTCCCTCCCCAGCACCCTCTCCAGCTAGCAGAGTCTCCCGCAGGAAACATAGTCCAGCACTCCCTCAAACTGCACCTGCTGGGCCTCCCTCAGGTCAAACGTGAGTCTTTGTCAGTGCGATCCAGGGGTGAGTTACTTACAGTGGGAAGTGTACCCATTTCATGTTTGTGTCCGAGATCCATTGTCTAGTAACTTCGATATATTGATCTTTTAATGTGTCCGTGCCATTCAGTTCATAAATAAATAGTTGTATAGAAAGTTGTGTTTAGAAAGATTCCCCCCACTAATATAATATACAGCTAAATAACTAACCGGCCACACTACCAAACTTCCACCCTTTATATTCCCACAACCATAAATACTCTACCTATATCTTCTATACGAGTTGTTGCCTGTATTATAGTGGTGATGATG